TTTTTTTTTTTTTTTTTTTTTTAACTTTAGGTAGGCTTCACATCCAACATGGGGCTTGAACTCACAACCTGGAGACCAAGAGTCCCATGCTGTATCGACTGAGCCAGCTTGGGGGCCCCAAGTCTCATTTTCTTGCTTTCCACTCTCCTGCCCTTTTCTGTTGGTGGTAAGCCAAACATAAAAAAGGAGCCTGAATAATTTTAAACTGAGCAAATTACCCACAAGGTCTCCAAAACTGGTGTGAAACTTCACAGAAAAAACACAGGTTCTCTGGAGACTCCATCCAGTACTTATTCCCACCCCACAAACATTGATCTGGGAGACCACTCAAGTCAGCTGAGTGACTCAACATTGCAAAAGGACCTAACTCAGGTTTGAAAGGGAACCTGTAGTTCCTTCCCTGTAGTTGAAGCTGGCAGAGTTCCAGGCCTGTTTCCTTTCTCTGAGAGAAGTGAAGAGCCCCATCCCTTAGGAAACCTTTTCTAGATGATAAGCTCGTCAACACCCTCTGCAAAGTCCATTCTTGCAGGCTTAACCCAACACATTGCCAACTGTTCCTGCAGACGGCCTAACTGGAATGTTTTATGGAGAGCTATGTGCAGTCAGGAGACAGACACTGAAGACACAATACCCCCCTCCTCCTGCAGAGGACTTTGACTCTTCCCCATTCCACCATCTAGGGTCAACATGAGATGATCTAAGGCCAAGACACTTCGGGTCCTGATCACCAACACTCTTCAACCAAATCTGGATCTAAGTCCCTCTCAAAATATTAGTCAGCCACTACCCTCCTCCTCCTCCCACCCCAAGACATTCCATGTCTGACACCTATCCCTTCATGCACCTTCATTCTGTGGGTTGGAGAGCAAACTTTCGGTCTGGATTACAGGCCAGGCCAGGAGCAGGGCAAAAGGAGTCAGACCCCATCTTGGGGCCAGCAGTCATGACAAAGGAGCCCAGGTAGAGCCCCCAGCTTTCCAGATTATAGGAAAGTGCCACTCAGCAGAGGCAGTCACAGATTCAGACCCCTCTCTTGATCTGGTTCTCCCAGCAAGGAGTGCATGCAGAAATCCCTCTGGGTCATAACTTTCCTCTGTTTTGTTCCTATTTAATCTCATCTTCACACCTGGCCCCTATCCCAAGAGCCTTCAGACCCCCTTACCGTGACGAAGACAACATTGTTGGGGAAGACTGATGTGTCTGCTCCATCCAAGGGCACTTGGGGTGCAGCAATGGGACCCCGGCTAGCTGTCAGTGAGGCTGGGAAGCAGCTTCTCTTTCGGACGGTTGTGGTCCCTTCCTCACTCTCTGACCCTGGGTCCCCCTCAGAAGTCTGGGGTGGCAGACGCAGCTCCTCTGACAGGTAGTGTCGGATGTTTTGGCGGGCAGAGTGGATGAGCCGGGAATCGATATCCAGGCCCACCATGAGGGATGGGCCCCACTTACAGGCAATGCTCAGGGTCAGGTGGCCCACATTGCAGCCCAGATCTAGGACGTCCCGACCCCGAAACCACTCAGGCTTCAACACTCGCAGGCGCCCATCCTCACAGGAAGGATTGCGGTAACCATAGTACTTGCAATAATTCCCATACTGGAACTTGCACTGTTGCTTTTTGAAGATTGCTGCAGGTAGTGGGTAGAGGTGGTGGTGGTGGCGGCCTCCCCCACTCCCCCGGCCCTTTTCCTTGGGAACCTGGCCTCCACCCCTGGCCCCTGCCTCTGACTTGCTGGAAGTCCTGCGACGTTTGCGATGTCGTGAGGAGGAAGACGGGGGTGCAGAGGTAAGTGAGGCAGCTGGAGGGGCTGAAAGGGAGCCTGAGGGACCCTGTAGGGCAGATGGAAGGGGAGACACGACCTCATCCCTGCAGTTGATGGCTGTGTTGAGTTCATAGGGCTGGGGGGCATCCCGGTTCTGGCCCCTATGCCGCTGCTGCTGCGTGGCGCCCTCCCCATGGAGTGAGGGAGTGAGGGGGGCTGTGGGAAGTACAGAGTGGCTATCATTCCCTCCAGATGCCTGCTGCTGCTGGTGGTGCTGTCCCCGGTGTCTATGCCGCTTCCGACCAGTCTTGAGTGGCGATGCAAGCACTACCTGGGCCTCATCAGTGCAAGTATTGAGACTGAGCGGGTCAGTAATATCTTTGGGGATGAGGATCTCCACTGGATCTCGCCCCTTGGCCGGAAGTGGAGATGACTTAGGGGTCTCTGCATTGAGTGCGCGGCTCACTTCCTCATCCAGGAGACTATTCAGGTTCAGTGGATCAAAGATATTGCCTCCCAGGAGAAAGTTGGAGGGTAACACAGAATCACAGTCCGAATTAACCCGCCTGCGCCTCTTGAAGGCTGGATGTTTGAAGCCTCCACCACCCCCTCCTACATTACAACTATTTCTCCTTTTGCCCCCACCTCCCCCAGGGGGCCGGTGGGGCTGATAGCCATTACGGGGCCGAGGAGGGGCAGGGGGACCCAGTTCTGTTCCGCCCCCTCCCCGTCGCTCCTCCCCGACGTCAGGGGGAGCAGCTCGCCCGTGGGGATCGGACAAGCGGGCCTCCCCGTGCGACTGCGCCTGGGGGCTGTCCCCTCGATGCTGCTGCGACTGGCCTCCCCGAGTGGATGTAGCCCCAGGACTCTCCTTGCCAGCCCCAGAAGCCGGGGCCCCCGCCGAATGAGCGCGCGGGCCCGGCCCACGCTGCGTCCCGCCGCAGAGCTCCCCGGAGGCGGCCTCTCGGTGCGGTTGCACCGTGGGGCCGCCCCCTCCGCCCGACTCATCTTTGAGCGGCGGCGGCGGCGGGGCCGGCACCAGAAACGGCTCCTTCTCCGCCGCCATCTCGATCATTTCCTCCCCTTATTCCGTCCCAGGCGAGGGCAACGAAGAGGGGACTAGGGGGCTTAACCCCCTCCCTAGAGCC